CCACCTGCTGGAACTGTGCCTACATTGTAGGATCAGTTTGAAGAGGTGACATTCCAGGGCTAAAATCCACAGGAGACCCAGCATTGTAATAATAATCGATCATCCTCAAACACATTATATTCTTGCACACTCCAAGCTGTGTACCATGTGCTCTGCAATTACCTGAATTCAATACTATTGTGCAGTTCAATTCTGGGAAAGAAATGAGATGAGAATGACAGGCAACCTACCGAGCATTTTGAAAATTGTTAAGTTTAAATAAGGGTAATATGATTAAGAACAGGTAAGTCACAAGCACAAATATATGGCACCATTTTGAACAAACCTATACTTTTTTTCAAAAAAAAAATGTTTACTAAGAAGTCATAATCCGTAACTGGAAAAAAAATCCCTCAAGTGTAGAATGATTAAGCAAACAGTGTTATATGCATACAGTGGAAAACTACTCAGCAGTAAAAAGAAATGGGTGGTTTATGCACCCAACCGTATCGGTGCCTCACAAATGCACGCTGATAAGGGTAAGGAGCCCGGTTCACACAGTATAAACCCTGCCGTCCGTACACTGATTTTGCCCCCCTAATCTCTGGAGGTTAAGCACTGCCACTTGCCTTCACAACGAAATCAAGACACCGCCCCGAGGACAGCATCTGTCACAGTCACCCTTCCATGCCGCGTTTCAGCAGGCGGGTTCTCCCCTTTAAGAAATCCCTCAAAGCCTCAGTGAAGGCACTTCCCTCGGAGCCCTCCAGGGAAACGTGGTCAGGAAGGGGCTTAGGATGCAGCCCAGACGTGACAAACCGGCCTTAACATTCCCATTTCCCTAAGACTCTGGATTCTTTTCTCTGATTTGAGCCAGAGAAGATCTGCCATCTCAACCCGATGAATGCAGGCTACTGTTTAACCTAATAAACAGAGTGCTACAGTCACTCCCTAATGATCAATTTTGGACAATAAGTCCAAAATTCAGGGTAGGTATATAAATTTTACGCAATCTAATGTTATAATCTACCCTTCTTGCCAGTATTTTTAGGGCCCTTTCAAATATATTCACCCAAATATGTCTATTTGGATTTTCCCCAAATAATTCAGCAATGTCTTTTAAGTTTGGGAGGAACGGTTTCTCTTCTCAAAGGTCATACTTCGCACTTGTCCCCCGGGACATCCTGATACCTGAGTCTAACTGTGGCCTGGAGCAATGAAGGATGGTTTGGTGGGTCTGGAGGTGAGATCACATCCCTCTGCAAGACAAGTGTTTCACGTGAGGTAAAGAAATAGCCATTGCCCTAGTTGGTGTGGCTCAGTGGATTGAGTGCCAGCCTGCAAACCAAAGGGTCACTGGTTCGATTCCCTGTCACGGTATAATCTGGGGTTGCGGGCCAGGACCCCAGTAGAGGGCGCACGAGAGGCAACCACACATTGATGTTTCCCTCTTCCTCCCTCTCGTCCCCTCTCTAAAAAATAAATAAATAGTTGGTGTGGCTCAGTTGGCTGAAGTGCCATCCCATGGACTAAAAGGTTGCAGCTTTGATTCCTGGTCAGGACACACCAGGTTGCATGTTTGATCCCCAGTCAGGGCACGTACAAGACAGTAACCCATAAAGTTTCTCTCTCACAGTTTCTCATTCTCTTCCTCCATCTCTCCTCATCACCACTCCTCTCTCTAAAACTAAAAGCAATGAAAAAATATCCTCGGGTGAGAAAGGAAAGAAGGAAGGAAGGAAGGACAGAAGGAAGGAAGGAAGGAAGGAAGGAAGGAAGGAAGGAAGGAAGGAAGGAAGGAAGGAAGGAAGGAAGGAAAAAAAAGGAAGGAAGGAAGGAAGCAAGCAAAGGAGGAAGGAAGGGAGGACGGAAGGGAGGGTGGGAAGGGAGGGTGGGTCATTGAACAAGGAAAGGCTAGTCTCTTCAGACAGGTTAAGGGGGACCATGTTAAGAGCTAGGAAGGCTTAGAGTTCTTTCTGGGTTCAAGATTATCAATTTCATTTGAGTCCGCTCAGATGTTGATGTTTCAGTCTCAGAGTTCCATATTCTCAGTTTGAGAAACAACAGAATGAAACTTTTTATTTTTCTAACCCCCCTCTCCTAACATATAAATTAGAGACTTCTTTTCTTTTGACTGTGTGAACTCAAATTATTTTTTATTTGTATGTGGCCGTCGATGGAATAAAAGTCCTACAGCTATGTACCATGTCATGCTATTCCAGAGCAAGTGTTTTTTTTTTTTTTGGTTGGTTGGTTTGTTTTTGTTTCTTTTAATTTATGGGAAATGCCGTATATCTAATACCTCTCTCCTAGAGGAAGATGCAAGTTTACTATGGGGAAAAAAATGGGTTTATGATTGAGGGATATGATTGACCACGTCAAGACATTTATGTGCAATTCAGATACAAAATACATACATGATCGATACATTCATCATGTGTAGAGCTTCGTGTCATATTGTCATGGGTTCGAATATTGGATCAGTCTCTTATTAGCTCTAAAATTTGAACAACTTATTTAGCTTCTCTGAATTTCAGTTTCCTCTTCTGCAGCAGCAGGGGGCGGGGCTGTTGGATTTGGTGAGTTAACATACATAAAGCACCTCCAGTATTTACCACATAGAAGGAGCTTTATAAGGCTGAGTTCCCAGCCATTCAACATACTTCCGACGAGAGAAGTTCTGTGAAGAAATGGGACAGGGTATACGTATGCAATCCTGCTTCCTTCTGCAGATTAGGAGTTTATCCTTCCTATCGCTGCTACACTGACGTTGTTCCTTCCGTATTCCAGTAGAGAGCTTGACCAGCCTTGGGGGACTGGAGGAGCCGGCCACTGGGATGGAGTTTAATAAGCACTGTCTTCAGAGCGTTTGTATGTGCTCCACACCACCCCAGAGATCAATTAACTACAAATCTGGAAAGTTTGGTGCTACATTCGTTTGTTTTTCAGAAGAGGCCCCCAAGGGCAAAGGTAAGGAAACATCTCCAAGGACAGAGGAAAAAAAAAAAAAACCTCTCAATTTACCCTCCCCAACTTTGAAATACTTCCAAACTGACCCCAAATTCAGACATTGACAGATACCAAAAGAACTTCTTAAAGATTACATCCCTCCTCCTATTTGTGCATACCTTTTCGCCTCACTCTCTGCCCACAAACACATATTCCCTGCACCAAGTGAAATTTTTTCTTTGATGAACAAACCAGCCTCAAGCTTGCTCTCAAAACTCGTGAACACTTTGGGGATTGAAAACAGTTATGAAATCCTGATTCAAGTCCGTCCCAAGCAGAACCGCCGACGGGTATCAGCCCAAGGACAGCCCAACGCGAGGGAGAGAGGGTGAGTGCCGTCCTTTGTCCTTCCCTTTCCGTCTTCAGGCCCGTCTTCACGTCCCTGTAGAAGGCGCCCTAGAGCTACAAACCCACATTAATAACTAAACAGTTCTTTGGATTTTACCTTTACAGCTTACATACAGCTTAAAGGACAATTAAGGTAATTTTGTTGATTTCCAAGTTGTTCGGATGAACACCTGAAGAAGAATCAGATGTATCCTGAACCATTAAGGCTCATTCGCCGTGAGCCGCCAAGCCCTCCGACTACTCCTTTGCTTGTGCTTCTGCAGGCAGAGGACCTCGTCTTCGGAGACGGGCTGACAGGGGTGCTCGTTTCTGATTTGTGTGGATGGAGACTTAGTGCAGGTGTGTGCAGTGTGATGGGAATTCTTACAGACAGGGATTGTATGGGATCAAGCCCCTGATCTTGAAAGGTGCTTTACACACTGACAATGCTAAGACTTTTATTAAGAATACTTATTAATTTAGGTATTTAACAACAAATATATAGAACACACCATGGGCCAAGCATATTCTAAAGGAAATGAAAGATAGATAGATTGATAGATACATACATACATGCATACATACATTCTAATAACAAAGTAAGTGCCATTATTATCTCTGATATTATAGAGAGTCAGAGAGAGTTCAGGTGACTTGTCCAAGATTACGCATCTATTAAGTGGGAAAGCTAAGAATTAAATCCTGGTGACCTAAACCTAGAGCCCACATTCTTAGCCATTAAATAGCTAGGAGAGCTCATACTGAAGACATATTTGAAACTCAAAATGCGTTATTATATGGAGATTTATTACTTGACAGCTAAGAGCATTTTATACATATCTGGCCTACTTCTTTAGAATAAAAACATTCTTTTGCCCTGGCTGTTGTGGCTCAGTGGATTGAGTGCCAGCCTGCAAACTGAAAGGTTGCCGGTTCAATGCCCCCATTCCGGGCTTGTGCCTGGGTGGAGGCCAGGTGCTCAGCTGGGGGCATGCAAGAGGCAACCAACCCATGTATCTCCCACGCATTAATGTCTCTTTCCCTCCCTTTCTCCCTCCCTTTTCCTCTGTCTAAAAATAAATGAATAAAAATTCAAAAATAGAACGAAAACATTCTAAATGTCTGATTATTTCACAACTACATAGCTGAGCCTGGTCCCTCTGCTGGCTTCTCTATCTCTATGCTAAAATTCGAAAAAAAGTTCGGTGCATAGGTATTTCAGGGCATGACGTGACACATTTGAGACACACAAAACTGTCCTAATAATAGCTTTCTTGGAGGATCTAGGATGTGTCACACCCGTTACACAGTTTGCCTTCTTTAATTCTTAACACAAGTGTGAGAGGTAGGTCCCGTCACCCATTTTAAAGGTAAGGAAATGGAAGCCTCGAGATATTCAGTATGTCACCCAAAGTAACACAACTATTACTGGTAGAGGCAGGCAACGATCCTAGGGAGCCTGAATCCAAAGTTCAAGCACATATCAACCACTTCCACTATATCAAAAGGCAAATATTTAAGACAATGACTACAATTACCTTCTAGAAAAGAGAATCTTTGCACAGAGTTATAATTCTCTGTAATACTCTGTCCTTCCTCTCGTGCATTTTGTAATTGTTTGTTGACGTCACCTGTAAAGTGGGTTGTTGTTCTCGTCCCAGATCTGCTTCACGTCCTTGTGCTTCATGGGAAACGTGTCCACAGCGAAGGCCTGGAACAGCTCTTCAGTGACCACATTCATTCTCCTGGGATTTGCAGACCTTCCAGAGTTCCAGGGCCTCCTCTTTGTTACCTTCCTGGGCATCTATCTTGTGACCCTGACTTGGAACCTGGCCCTCATCTTTCTGATCAGAGGTGACATCCGTCTGCACACACCCATGTACTTCTTCCTCAGCAACTTGTCCTTCATTGATGTCTGCTATTCTTCTACAGTGGCTCCCAAGATGCTCGCCGACTTTTTCCAAGAGCTGAAGACCATATCATTCTTGGGGTGTGCTGCTCAGTTTTTTTTCTTCGTCGCTATGGGTCTAACTGAGTGCTTCCTCCTGAGCGCTATGGCATATGACCGGTACGTAGCCCTCTCCAGGCCCCTGCTCTACACCGCCACCATGTCCCACGGCCTCTGTACGCGCCTGGTGGTCGGGGCATACGTCGGCGGCTTCCTGAGTGCCCTGATCCAGGCCAGCTCTCTATTTCAGCTCCACTTCTGCGGACCCAATACCATCAACCATTTCTTCTGTGACCTCCCACCTGTCCTGGCACTTTCTTGCTCTGACACCTTCCCCAGTCAGCTGGTGAACTTCCTTGTGGTGGTCACTGTTGGGGGGACCTCATTCCTCATCCTCCTCCTCTCCTACAGTTACATAGTAGCTGCCGTCTTGAAGATCCGCTCGGGAGAAGGACGGCGGAAAGCCTTCAACACGTGCACCGCGCACCTGACGGTGGTGGCTCTGTTGTTTGGGACAGCCCTTTTCATGTACCTGCGACCCAGCTCCAGCTACGCGCTTGGCAGGGACAAGGTGGTGTCTGTGTTCTACTCGCTGGTGATTCCCATGCTGAACCCTCTCATCTACAGTTCGAGAAACAGAGAAATCAAAGATGCCTTGTGGAAGGTGGTGGAAAAGAAGAAAGTCTTTTCTTAGTTCATGATTGAAAACATATTTCTCCAAACTCCTGTAGCTGTAAATGATCTACCTCCAACTCTGGCTTAGGCAACGGGATGTGTTGTGTGCATGTTTGAAAATGGGGGTTCCTCCCTGCTGATTCCTCACATTATTTTTCATGGCCATGTGTCTACTGAGCCCACCATGGATGGTCAGGAGAGGGAAGAGACTATTTCAGAAACAAGTCTCTTCAGGGTAGCCTATTCTCACAATTGGTATTATGGCAACCAGCTTTTATGGGTGTTTAATATGTAGCAAACACAAACATGATTTGATCAAATATTCATTGTAGTGCTGTGATGCACATAGAACTACCCCTATGTTACAAATCAGGAAACAAGGTCCTCACAAGGAGCACTGACTTGCCAGGGTCATTCAGGAAATGAGGAAATAAGGGGCGGAACCCCCATTCAGACCCAGGTCTTCCTGACTCCAGAGCCCGTGCTCTGCCCAAACACTGCCTTCCGCGTTCGACAGCAAACAGCCAGCCCTACACGTGCAGAACTCTTATGACTTGCATCTGGAAAGATTCAAAAAGATGCACTATGTACACAGTTGAGCGGAATTACAAAACAAGATGCCTACTCCCATGGACTCCCATGAGGGCTACTCAATAATTGGCTAAGCAAATGCTGAATGACATTACCCTTTGCTGCCATTTCTACCTCAGCCACATAGGAGCCTGGAAAATTTGAGTCCAATGGTATCCCATCAATATTCTTCTCTTACCAATCGTAGTCACCCGAACTACCTCCTCGGTCTGAACCTCCTGGCTTTCACCACATCATTCCTCCACCAGTTCGGCACCTGACACCGTTTCTCAGCTCAGGCTCCCCTTCCATCGGCACCCTCGGAGTTCCTCTCGCTCTCCTCTGCCTGAACCCGTTGCTCCGGTGAAGTCTTTGTCTCTTTTCTTCAGTGGCTTAGCCCCTGCAGCCCCGCTCGCGCTATCATTTGCCATCACCTCCGGGAGGTCCACTTCAGGCTGTCACCTCCAAGTGACCACTCCTCCGTGGTGGGCACGTGCAGTGGCCTTGTCCAGCACCATGGCTGCTGGTGCATCCCTCTCTCATTCGCCTGTGGCTCTGTCCTCTGCCCAGCAAGTTCACTCTCCCATTAGTGTCGGTCTGTTGGATACACAGGAGTGAAGCTCCCCTGAGGCTTCTTCAGCCTCCTCCTTTCTAACTGTAGATGAAAGGGGGAAAAAAAGAGACCATTGTTTCACAAACCCACTCTTTCCAGGAACAAAACAAAAAACTCTGTGAAGATTACCTTTACCTCTCATTCAGAAATCTTCCACCTCTGCAATTTAGCTCTTTCTCCTTAGAAATTAGAAGCTGACTTAACCTGGGTAAACTATAAAGTCCTCTTAGAAAATATTTACAAACTCACTTTTACCAGAAACACTTTCAGGAATACACTTAAATAAAGTTTTTAAACAGAGGTAAAAAGTTCTCCACTTGTGCCCTGACTGGTGTGGCTCAGTTCGTGGCAGCATTGCCCCCGAAGCAAAAGGTCACCAGTTTGAGTCCTGGTCAGGGCACACGCCTAGGCTGCAGGTTCGGTCCCTGGTTAGGGGTATACTAGAGGCCACCACTGTTTCTCTCTCACATTGGTGTTTCCCCTTTTTCTCCCGTCTTTCCCCTCTCTCTAAAAATAAATAAATGTTTTAAAAACTATTCCACTTATTTATCTTCACTCTTCCTAGTTTCAAACTATTTTAGGATGACTTCAAATAGGCAGGCACTATCCAAAATGAAGCAAGTTGCAAATCAGTGAAGAGTTATATGTTCTTTATATGGTCATTAGGAAATGCAGGTCTGTATCTATATGTATCCTTGGAATAGAAAAGATCTTTCTAAACTTAAAGCTAAAGGCAAAACCATAAAGAAAAAAAAGAACAGGTCTGACTACAATAGTGTTACAATCCCTGTGGCAAACAAAACATTAAAAAAAATTAAAGGACAGATGTTTAACCAGGAAAAATGTGCACGTGACATATGGTAGGCTACGTTTATGAGGAAAATGAATTAAAATTTTTATTTTTTATTAAGTTAAAATTTATATTAATTTTAACTTCATCTTAATTTATATTTGCTTTATGCTTACATGTAAAATTTTAATGGTATGTTTAACTGGGAAGGTGCTTTTTTTTTTTCCAATGAGTCTATCATCCTCTACTGATCTTACACACATGCGGTTCCTCCATAGAAAAGACATTCTCCACTCCTGCCCTAAAGAATGTTACATAAGTGCATGTTTTCCTGGCCTTGCATGTCTATTCCCTTCAGGAAGCACAGAGAGTCCCAAAGAAGACAGATGCAAAGAGGCCCACTCCAAGACACATCCTAAGTAAAATGCCAAAGTTTAAAGATTAAGAGAGAATCTTATAAGCAACAAGAGAAAAGCAGTTAGTTACCTACAGGAGCGTTCCCATAAGAGTGCCAGCTGATTTCTCAAAAGAAGCTTTGCAGGCTCGAAGGCCTGGCAAGAAATATCCACAGCCATGAAAAGCAGGGACCTGTGGCCAAGGTTGCCCTACCCAGCAAAGCTATCAGTTAGAATGGAAGGGCAGATAAAGAGCTTCCCACACAAGAAAAAACTAAAGGAGTTCATCATCGCCAAACCACTACTATATGAAACGTTAAAGGGAGTTACGTAAGAAAAAGATTGCCAAATGGGAGGGGAGTTGGGGGTATGGGTGAAGAGATGAAGGGATTGAGAAGAACAAATAGGCAGTTACAGAATAGCCACGGGGATGTAAAGTACAGTATAGGAAATGGAGTAGGTAAAGAACTTATAGGCATGACCTATGGACATGTACAATGGTGTGGGGATTGCCTGAGGGCGTGGGGGTTGCTGGGTAGAGGGTGGATAAGGGGGACAAATGGGAACCATAATAGCATAATAGATAAAATATAGAAAAATTTAGAAAAAAGACAAAGTGGCCCCTTTGAGAGATTTCATCAATAGCACTTCCTAATATTTACTTGGTGGACTTTATTTTAGAGTTCAACATATTTGTACACCACGAAAGAAAACTGAAGAGTTTTGCTTATCAAGAATGATACAGATAGGGTTACTCTCGAGGGACCAAATATTTATTCACTCTTGGCTGGCGGTTTCTCACTTCCTCTAGAACCCGACATGTTACCTAAAACTGAATTGGACCCACTCGATTCAAGAACAAGGCCTTCCGCAGTCTTCTGCAGGCTGCTCAGATTTGACTTTTTAATTGAAACAAATCAGATAGTATAGGCCCCTCAAGAAAAACCCACAACTCTTCTCCCGGGTATGTGTTCTCTCACTTTAAACACTAATCAAATGAGTCAGAGGTCTCCAGCGCCCACTTGATGCGGAAGTGCATTGATGCAGCCTGCATTCTTAGGTCATCCTTCCACAGGTTTGCTCCTCAGGCTCAATCAGCTGACAGCCCCCTATAAAACTTTGGCTTCAAGGGCAATGATAAAAACTACAATATTTACAAATCTTCAAAATTCCTCCTGGATCTTCCTGGACTTGACGTTCCTTAGAGCGGAGCCCTTAACGACACACCTGAGTTCCGAGAAGCTTTCCTCTCCTGTGACCCAACCCCTTTTACTTTGGGGCACACCAAGGTGTTCGGAAATGGCCAACAGATAGTGCCATTTTGGGTCGTTGAAGGCACCCCACTCCATTAGTGCTCTGGAATGAGCATGACATGGTCTTTCTCTAGTAATGCCTGACTCACTCCGCATCCTTCACATATGACCTAGCTGTGGGAGAAGAGGGCCTTAAATGCCATGAGTTGTCCCTGCCACATTTAAGAGAGGACTCAGAAGCACAACCCACAACAAAGGAGGAGTAACCAAAGCCATGCGAGCTGCACATAACCTCCTTCCTGGGTGGCAGAGACAGACCGATTCCGTTACTTGGTCCTGACTTAGGCTCCAACAGGTCCCTTTTTGCTGTTGACCTTTTGAGACGTTTTGATATCAAAGAAACCTCCTTCCACCCTGTAACAATCATGGGGCTGGTATAGGGATAGCAACCTTCCAACCATGTTACTAAACATAATTAACGTCACCCAAGCACAGGAACAGTCATCAGAGAGCCCTGGCTATGAATAACACCGGAAAGCAGCAAACCTCCACAATGCTCAGTCACACCCTCTGCAGTCGAGGGAGTCAACTCTACCTCCTTACTTTGGACCAGTTTTTTCTTGTTATTGTTTTTGTTTGTGTTTTGTGTTTTGTTTTGTTTTTTTACTTTTAGGTGGGACTCCATGGATGGATCATATTCAGTAGGACCTTAGAGAGGTTGAGGGTAGGGAAGAAGAAACACAAATATCTCTCTTCTTTCCCATGCCTCCAACTCCTTGGAATACAGGATTACAGGAGTGGGAGAGAGAGGATGAGAGGAGAAAATGATTGCATGAGGAAGGGCACAGAAAAGGAGGAAACAGGTAGAACTGGCAAAGTGTGTAGGAAACTCTGAAAAAAGTAAATACTATATTCAATCTTTCCAAAACAAGTGTGTCTCCTTCTGCCTCCTTCGGCCTCCTTCCACCCCACTTTGCTATCTTCTTTCCCCAGATATGCAAAAAGAGAAGCAATTTTTGTTTTGTAGTCCAACACCAAAAAAGACTAAGCCTTTGATCCCCCGGGTCTGGCTTTTCTTGCACTAGTCACTACATGGAAAGGACATCTTCAAGGAGATAGAAGAGGCCTCTTCAGTCGAAGGAGAAGGCTGAACACTGCATTGTGATATTAAAAAATCAGCCCTGGCTGGTGTGGTTCAGTGGACTGAGCACCAGCCTGTAAACCGAGGGGTTGCCAACTCGGTTCCCAGACAGGGCACATGCCTGGGTTGCAGGCCAGGTCCCCAGTAGGGGGCACATGACAGGCAACCACACATTGACGTTTCTCTCCCTTTCTCCTCCCCTTCCCCTCTCTCTAAAAATAAAATAAAGAAAATCTCTTTTTAAAAAATCAGGTGTG